GTGGAATTGCTGTATCTTTTGGTAGACTGATTCCCATTGCCTGAGGAATCTCCATACTGATTTCCAAAGTGGCTGTATGAGTCGGGACTCCCACCAGCAGTGGAAGAGTGTTCCCCTTTCTCCTGTCATTGGTGTTTTTTTATTTTAGCCATTCTGACAGGAGCAAGATGGTATCTCAGAGTTGTTTTGATTTGCATTTCCCTAATAACTAAGGATGTTGAGCATTTTAAGTGTCTCTCAGCCATTTTAGATTCCTCTGTTGAGAATTCTCTAGTTTTGCACACCACTTTTTAATTGGATCCTTTGGTGTTTTGGAGACTTGCTTCTTGAGTTCTTTGTGAATTTTGGAGATCAGCCCTTTGTCAGATGTGAGGTTAGTGAATATCTTGTCCCATTATGCGGGCGCCATTTTGTCTTGTTGACTGTGTCCTTTGCCTTACAGTTTCAGGAGGTCCCATTTATTAATTGTCGATCTCAGTGTCTGTGCTACTGGTGTTATGTTCAGGAAGCTGTCTCCTGTACCAATTCGTTCAAGGGTACCACCCACTTTCTCTTCTAAGAGGTTCAGTGTTTATTTTTTTATTTTGAAGATTTATTTATTATGTATGCAGTGTTCTGCCTGCATGTATGCCTGCAGGTCAGAAGATGGCACCAGATCTCATTACAGATGGTTGTGAGCTCAGAGGTTAAGAGCACTAACTGCTCTTCCAGAGGTCTTGAGTTCAATTCTCAGCAACCACATGGGGGCTCACACAACCATCTACAATTCAATCTGGTGTATATATAATAAATAAATAAATAAATAAATAAATAAATAAATAAATAAATCTTTAAAAAAAAAAAAAAAGAATGTTCAGGAAACAGGCTCTGAAGTTGTACCCTACCTGTGCTCAAATTTTAGCTCCTTTACTTAGATATGTAACCTTTGGTTAGGGGAGGTCATTTCATTTACCTAGGTTAAAATAGAAACAGTGATGGTGACTGTCTCATATGCTTGTTAAAAGGATTAAAAGTTAGTATTTATTAAATTCTTAGAACAGTGCCTGGTCATTAACGCATGTCGTTGAAGAGGATAGTGATTCACTAAACATTCTAGATATGAGGAGTTATTTATAGCACCAAATTCAAGAGATACTGGGACAATAGCTGAAGAACAGGAAATAGCAAGTATGATTCATTATCATTACTGTTTAGTATCTTAGCCAAAGAGTCTCCTGCTGTTATTGCAAGACATCTGGATCCCTTCCAGTTGAGGGTTCTTACAGATAATGCTACTCTTAGCATCATTGTGTCTTTTCATATATAAACATTGATTAGAAAATATATACTACAAGAAATTACATGGAATCATTTCCATTTTCTTTGGATGATAACTTTTTTATCTTACAGGGTCTTGAATGAGTTTATTATGAAAAATCCTAGTTTGGAAAATAAAAAAGATCAAAGAGACCTTCAGGTAAGGCATTCTGAATTCAAGGTTGCTACCAAAATCAAAAGTTAAAATTAGGAGTCATATAATTTATGATGTTCCTAACTATTCTATAAAAGTCAAGATTGTCTATTATATAAAAATAATGTCAGGGTGGTGGCTCATGTCTATAATCTCAGCTCTTGGGAGATAGAGGTGGGAGGATCAGGATTCCAAGGCCATATCTACAACATACGTTGAGTTTGAGGCCAGCCAAAGCTATATGAGATCATTTCTGGATAGGGGGGAAGAAGTGGGGAAGAATGTTTTATAAAACACCTATTGAAGTCCATAATGCATTTGTGTGTATGTGCACAAACATGGTTCTTGTTTCTCTAGGATGTGACTCACAAGATAGTGGATGCTATTGGTGCAATTGCTGGTTCCTCTCTAGAACAGACAACATGGCTCCGACGAAACCTTGAAGTCAAACCTTCTCCAAAAATAATGGTGGATGGAACCAATTTGGAGTCTGATGTTGAAGGTATTGCTCTCCTTTCTCTTATTCTCTCAGCATATACTTACTGAGCAGTATTTTATTTAGTCCTGTAACATAAACTAACCTTTTATCAGTGAGAGATACTAATCATTACCTTTACCCATCTCTTCTCATATTTAGATATGCTATCGCCTGCAATGGAAACCTCAAACATAACTCCCTCTGTGTATAGTGTCCATGCACTGACATTGCTTTCTGAGGTAAACGTTATCAAGTGTTTTTATGTGCACACTGAAGCGAACAATAAGAAATCCTCTGGTCTACAAAGTGAGTTGTAGGACAGCCAGGGCAATACAAAAAAACAAAAAAAGAAATTCTCATAGAGAAGTTTTTAATTTCAAAAATTATTTTGTGCTTCTAGAAATCACCAGTATATATAATCACCAAGAATAGGACAATATGGGGGCAATGCCTGTGTACATGTTTGTGTGTGTGTGCACATATGTTTGCAGACATGCACATACATAACACCTGTGCCTTTGATTTATGGCTTTTTGTCATGTAAGTATACAAGTTCATGAAAATGCCCACAAGAGGACATGCAATTCAGTACATTCCAGGATCCATGTTTCTTGCCCTTAGTCATTCAGATTTAAAAGCTCAGAATGAACTGTATCTTGTCTCCCCACCCTCACTTTTAAAATATATATTTTAAGAAATAAAAATGCTTTTTATCTGATTATGGTGTGGAAGGGTGGAGTGGTAAAGTATAAAGCATGTATAGCAAACAAACTCATCACTTTTTGCCCCTTATAGATGTGGATGCTGGGTCTTGACAGAGGTTAGAAAACATGACTGACACTAATGGCTGTTGATTGACTGGACTAGGGCTTGAGGAGCTCAACATGATTAGCTTTGGGGTTTTCTTAAGCTTCTTTGTAATTCTGGGGAAGAGAATGCTAAGGTTCCACTCCTGTCACATAGAAGGTCCTGAACTGTTTTATACCTCCCTATCTCAATGTAGATTTTTCTCATTTTAAGTAGTTTTAGTTTCCTTCCAAGTTGAAAAGCAGTACCCACCTCCAACCTCAGTTTCAGCATACAGATGAATTTGTTTCCTCTCTATTTTGTAGGTATTGGCTCATCTTCTGGATATGGTTTTCTACAGTGATGAAAAAGAGCGTGTTATCCCTTTACTTGTAAACATTATGCATTATGTTGTACCCTACCTCCGAAATCACAGGTACTGTATGATTTCAGTGTAGGGTTTAGCTAATTCACACTCTGCTACAAGGTCTGTCCCCTTGTTGCTATTTGTGGCCTCAACTACTAAATGATGTTATTCTTACCTTGACTCATTTATAATGCTAAACTGTTTTATTTACATCTCGTTTTTCTTACAGGTTCTGTTTCATGTTTCCATTTTAGTATCTGAGATATATGTGACTACACATAAATTCAAGATGACAGTGGAAGTGAAAGCATAATATGGTTTAATGTGGTTTTTTTTTCTGTACAGTGCACATAATGCCCCTAGTTACCGAGCCTGTGTCCAACTGCTCAGCAGTCTAAGTGGGTATCAGTATACACGGAGAGCCTGGAAAAAAGAAGCCTTTGACCTTTTCATGGATCCCAGTTTCTTTCAGATGGATGCTTCCTGTGTTAATCAGTAAGTAGTCCTCATCTCACTTTGACTCATTGTCAAGTCAAATAGGATAGAAGGCCTTAATAAGAGTAAAAGCTTAGTAACATGATAACCCTGTGTCTTTCAGCTGGAGAGCAATTATGGACAACCTGATGACACATGATAAGACGACATTCAGAGATTTGATGAGTGAGTATTGTGATAGCCAGTGCAGTGTTTTTCTTGTACAGTATTCATTATTAGCATGTACTAGTCTCTTTTGAAAACTACTGAATTAGTTCTTTGTCAAGTTAAACATAGTATTCTATGGGAATATAATAGACTGAAAAAGACAAACATCCCATGTTTCCCCATATATGCAGAATGTAGATTCTGAAAAAAAGTTACAAGAGACAGGGAACAGTGTGGGATTGGAACCTCTAGGAGACAAGGACAGGAGGATTACAAGTTCCATACGAACCTAGCATATATGTATATAGCAAGACTCTGGTGATGGACAACAAACAAAGCCCAAGGTACAGAGGTAGAATGAGGGCTGTGCAGGAAAATGAAGAGAACTGCTGAGTTTGTGAGTATTAGAGAGAATACTGCAGTATGAGTAAGAGTACATTATGTGATGCAAATGTGTGGAAGTACCTGGTGAGATCTCTCATTTTATGCAGTGAATATGTGCCAACAATAAAAATATTACCAAGGATAACTTAGTGGTAAGTAAAATTATCCTTCATTTCCCGATCACACAGCCTAGTTACTGGCACAATAGGACTTGATAACTACTGACTAGGTAAGAAGAGAGGCAATTGGATCTAACCTGTGTGACAGTCTACTCTAAATCTCTGTGGCTGTGGATCTCCAGGGCAGAGAATGGGGGAAAGGGAAAGGAGACAAAAAGAGAGTGTAACTAAACTGAACTGTAATCGCTGGAGTTGTGAATCTGAAGACTTTATACAGTTGTGTAGCTCTCAACTAATTTCTTATCTGGAGAAAGGGTGCCATGTTACCTCTTCTGTCATCTTCTTTGAGCTGTTTTTAGGTTTTAAATTTATATATTATTAAATGTTTATTGAAAGATGACAGTGGACCAGGTATTATGCTAACCTTTATAAAATTTTTTTTAAATTAGGGAGTGAGGTTATAAAGGAAATAAAATGGGGCACTGCAGGACACATTTTAAATAACAGCAAAGAGTTTTATTTTATTTATTTATTTATTTTGGTTTTACGAGACAGGGTTTCTCTGTATTGTTTTAGAGGCTGTCGGTCCAGCCTGGCCTCGAACTCACAGAGATCCGCCTGCCTCTGCCTCCCAAGTGCTGGGATTAAAGGCGTGCACCACCACCCCCGGCTTTTATTTTATTTTTATTCACATCATATTTGATGTGAACCTGAGGGAGCCAAGCCTTTCTAGAAATGGAATTCCCGGTATAAAGAACAAAAATGACAACGGTCTTGGGATGGGAGCAAACTTGGTGAGTTTATGTCATAGAGGAAGTTAGGAACAAGGAGCTAAATGAAGAACAGGAAATCAGACCAAGCTAGGTTTCTCTAGAAATTATTTTTTAAAATAATACAAAAGATTTAACGAAATATTTGAGCAGATAGGAGTTACAAAATAGTATTATTAGACATTTTTCCCTCTAAAACCCACAGTTCTAAGTATTCTTGTCTGTCTACATCAAAATCCTGCCATTTGACCTTCAGGCATGTGTATGCTCAGACTGTCTGCTTTTCTGCACCAGAGAAAGGTCCAGGTCCTCTGCTATATTCCTCTCAGTGTGTATGTCATGAGGTAGTCACTGATTTTAATTAAGAAATGGTTGCTTTCAGATGACTGGAATGCCTCTCCTTCATTCCTTTTTATAGCTCGAGTAGCTGTGGCCCAAAGCAGTTCTCTCAATCTTTTTGCAAATCGGGATGTGGAGCTAGAACAGAGAGCAATGCTTCTCAAAAGATTGGCCTTTGCTATTTTTAGCAGTGAAATTGATCAGTACCAGAAGTACCTTCCAGACATACAAGGTAAGTAATTAAAGCATTTTATCGTCTCTCTTATGAATTACAGGGGCGTAGGGGTCATTTATTTGGGTTGGGGGGGTATTTGGTTTGATGTCCTGTTGTTGTTTCTTAGAAAATATCTTTTGGGGAGGGGTGGTTTGGAGACAGGGTTTCTCTGTGGCTTTAGAGGCTGTCTTGGAAATAGCTCTTGTAGACCAGGCTGGTCTCGAACTCACAGAGACCCGCCTGCCTCTGCCTCCCAAATGCTGGGATTAAAGGTGTGCGCCACCACCGCCTGGCTAGAAAATATCTTTACTAAATTTTAATTTGGGTTTAGATAAACCATAAGTGTGGGTTGATGGACAGTATTACATAACAAATATTTTAGCTTAACTGTGTAAAAGAAATCAACACTGAATTTGAAAAACTTAACTAAACTTTATCTGTGATTTATTATTTGGTTCAAATATCAGAGGAATTGATATGCAAAGTCAGGTAGTCACTATTTCCTATTTCACTGTAGGCAAATATATTATTGTGTTTTACTTGTGGACAACATCAGGAAATATATCCTTAACAAGAAGAGCCAGGAATTTGTGGCTTGCAGTCATATTTGCATGTCTTACTTGGAACGGTGTTGGCTCTATAATAGACAGGGTTCTTTAGAAGAGGAATGTATTAGATTTGCTTACACAGTAGGGGCTGAGTAGTCCAATGGTCATCTGCACACTGGAGAAGCAGAGAGCACAATAGCTGCTCCTTCTAAGAAGATTGGTGCCTCTGCAATTACAATATAATTGTAGGTCTCCATGTTCCCTGGAGAGTACCTTGGCATTGAGTCACATTGAAAGGCCAAAGAAACCAGAATGTTAGAAAATTACAACCACAATAATAGATGTACTTGCTGAAAGAAAAAGGACAGCAGGTACAACACACGATGCTTTTTCATTGGAAAAACAAAAACAAACATTGAGGTTCTCTCCTAATCACTGACCCACTTGTCATTCCTTTCTGGTAGTCCACGCTGTTCTTTCTGGAGAATGATCTACAGTAGCTGTACTTTGGTACTTTGGTTTTCAAATGAGTGAGTTTATTAAATTGTAGCAAGGAAAAGTAAAAGAACAAATAGCAAGCTGTAGATAAGCACAACAGACAAAAACAGCAAAACATCATAAAACTGGACCCTTGCAACATCTATCAGAGCCACTGGATAGCCCAAAAATCCGGCAATTGCAACGTCCATGAGAAATGACTATGGAAGCCATACTGCAGTTCCAAAGCAAAAAATTTTAGACTGAGAACTAACTCTTCATGCCTGAGCTTCCAGTTTCTTATTCCCAATCCAGGCATTTTATACAATGTGATAAACAACAGTACCCCCAATTGGAAATAGTCTGTATCTTCCAGCTTTGTTATTTAACACCCCTTTGCTGTCTGCTAGTCTCTTTTCTGTGTGTTGTATAGTTGGGTACTAAGCCTGCCCCAGAACAGGGAATTTGGAGAAAACTTGAAATATACATCCTGGAGTCTGGAAAGAGGGCCCTCCTTGCCCTCAGAGTCCACTTTCAACAGATGTAAACAGCCCATGATCATACACTTTATGTTATACATTCACAGACACTCAGCTCTAAGCATTGTTTACTCCATTCAAGTTGACAGTCAAAACTAACCATCAGTCCATCTCTTGTCAGTATTCAACCACATGTCCTGACATGCTTAAATGTCAAATAATGTGAATTAAAGAGTCATGATTTCTCCTAATACAACTCTTCCAAAAACAACTGAAAACACCCAGATTCTTTCCGTAGTATAGGTGGGAAAATCTCTTGAGGGATGCTTGATCTTTTGACATCCCAGAACTTAAAATGATAATACAAAGTTTTTCCAGTTAAGTACTTGTGCTTGACTCAATGTTCTGTTATAGTATAAAAGACTTGAAAAATTCTCTCTCTCTCTCTGTCTCTGTCTCTCTCTCTCTGTCTCTGTCTCTGTCTCTCTCTCTCTGTATAAAAGACTGGGAAAATTCTGTGTGTGTGTGTGTGTGTGTGTGTGTGTGTGTGTGTGTGTATAAACATTCTTAACAAATTAGATCTTCTTTCTAGAACTAGTCACGTGCCCCTAACTAATGTTTATGACTACCTTCTACCTATTCTGTATTTCTTCCACTCTCTGCAAGTACAATAGACCTTGGTTCTCTACCCACAGCTTCTGTCTGGCGTGTTTATCATTCTGCCTAGATTGGGTTATTGTAGTTCCCATTGACTTTAATGGTAAGTAGGGCCTGCTAATATTCTGAGACACCCTGTGGGATTGCTTGCAGTTCAGAAATGTTCTCTCTTACCTCCATTTTGGAGAAATAGTCCCATTTCTCTTTAATCGTCTAGATCAGTCATTCCTGCTCAAATAGAACTCTTTTCTAAGCCTGTTGACTCAGTGCCATGAGAAAGTAGCCCTGTGGAAGTCTTAGTGCCCTGTTCAATGCAATGGTTGTACCTCCATTTAGAAGCACTTTCCCCAGAGGAAGCAATACTTCTGGGCCAACAACGTAAGATCAGGGCTGGGAGGAGGAAGCAAAATTTTGGTAGTGAGTGGCAAGGCATAACTCTGGGTAGTAGTATTTCCATTTCTCTCCTTGACCCCGTAGACTCAATAATCTTGGCTGTGGAGAAAACAGAACCATGTATAGGACACTTATTCACAGCATATATAGGAGAAACCTGCCCTGTTCTCCAGCCTACTGTCTCCTAGTTGGCCCTGTACTGTATCTTCAGATGGTCATTCTACCATTCTCCCCGTGAATGTGAGCCCACCGCCTCACTTCTCTGACTATGACATGAGCTCATTGGTCAGAAGCAATGCTGTATAGAAAACCAAGACAGTAGATAAGGCATTCTGTAAGTTCATGGACAAGTTTTGGCAGAAACATTTTGCAAAGGAAATGCAAACCCTAATAATAAATGTCTGTTTTAATAAAAAGATTTACCTTCCCAGGCTTTACCTATAACCAAACTATGGCTGCCCAACTCAGGGAGTGCTGTGCAGCCTCTAACCTCAAGAGCTCATGTGAAATTCGTTCTGTCCCATAGCCATGTATACCTCATTTCAACAGTTACACTCTTCTACGAGCACTTGGGTTGGTTGTTTGCTGGGTTGGTTGGTTGGTTTGGCATTGAATTTGTCTTGAGACCAAGTCTCCTTATGTAGTCCAGGCTAGCTTCCAGCTCATGATCTTGCTGAATCCACCTCCCAAGTGCTAGGATCCCGTGTTTACATTCCTTACTCAAAACGTAGTTCATGGACCAGTACCACTTTCTTATCCTGTCCATAGAGAATTCGAAACTTTTAGTTGCTATGTCATAGACTCCACTATATCTAACAAGGAAATGCTTGATTTTTATATACATTTCAAACTCTTAAGTTTACATTTCAAACCTCTAAGTTTTATAATGATTGGGTTACTTAGACATTGGAACTATGCTGATTTTCTTTCAGAGAGGTTGGTTGAGAGTCTCCGTTTGCCCCAGGTGCCGACCCTTCACTCTCAAGTGTTCCTGTTTTTCAGAGTATTACTTTTAAGAATGTCTCCACAACACCTTACCTCTCTCTGGCCTACCATGATCACAGAACTTGTGAGTTAATTTTAATTTACAAAGTTACAAAAACAAACTGTGACAGTGTGATTAATGTCTCCTTGCTTTTTATGTTAAAAACTAATCTTTTTTTTAAGATTTATTTGTCACATTTATAGCATTCTGCTTGCACGCCAGAAGAGGGCACCAGGTTGAATTGTAGATGGTTGTGAGCTGCCATGTGGTTGCTGGGAATTGACTCAGGACCTCTGGAAGAGCAGTCAGTCCTCTAAACCTCTGAGCCATCTCTCCAGCCCTAAAAAATAATCTTAAAAGCCAGGTGATGGTGTGCACGCCTATAATACCAGCACTCGGGAGGTGGAGGCAGAGGCAGGTGGATCTCTGTGAGTTCGAGACCAGCCTGGTCTACAAGAGCTAGTTCTAGGACAACTTCCAAAGCCACAGAGAAACCCTGTCTCGAAAAACCAAAAAAAAAAAAAAAAAAAAAAAAAAAAAAACTAATCTTAAGGACTAAACTCATAATTTTTAAAGTTAAATAGTAAAAGCTTTTACTGTTAAGTAGCTTAAATTGTGCAGTGCAGACAGACAACTGCCTTTGAGCCCCTACTTACTCATGTAGTTTAATAGTTTAACACTTGGTCTCTTTGACACTATTGGCTTTGCATAGCCAACTGGTCCAGTGCCCCACTGCAGGGATGCCTCTAGTGAGACACAGCTGAACTGGATTGTTAGGGATTGATGCAAGGCATATACTCACTCTTCCAGCATAGCATTCATCCCAGTTAAACCTGCTTCAAAGACTATGGTGAATACTTTCTAAAGTAAACCCTCCCAAACCCCACTTCCCCAGAGATAATGCTGACAAATTATATTTCCACTTGAAAGTGAGCATTTCCTTCATGGTCTCCAGGTGCAGGTGTTCTTACTGATGGAGCAGGAACTCACTGCTGATGAAGATATTTCACGGTAATGTGTGCGTCTGTGTCTGTATGTTCCTCAGGAGAGTTCAGATACCACTATATAAACGCTTCCATTATTTTGGGCTAGAGAAATGACTTATTGGCAAAGAACACCAGCAAGTCTTTTAGAGGACCTGTGTTCAATTCCCATCACACACCTGGCAGCTCATAACGGTCTGTACCTCTAGTTCCAAGGGCTGTGACATGGTGCACACATAGACATATAGGCAAAAGTCCTATACACATAAAATTTAAAAATCTTTTAAAAACGAATACTCCCATTATTCATGTTTGAATATATTTTATTTAGTCAGGAGACATGATAGGCTAAATTATCAGCATTCATGACCTTCAGTCTCTATACAAAGATTCTGCTTAATACAATTCACTATTGTTTCAACTACATAAGTCATATTAATTTTGATAGTTCAGGTCTAATTCCTAAGACTTGAAATAGATTTTTTTAAAAATTATGGCAGGTAACTTTCGACCAAGGCAATCCATATATCTAGATCTTCCAGAATGTTCCCATCAATTATACAATAGTTTTATTCTTTTTAGAAGTTTACCTGTATGTATATATTTTTAATTCTATAAGAATTACTGTTCAATTTTATAAATTATAATTTTTCTTTAGGAATCATGTCTCCATCTTGGTAGCTAGCTCAGTTTGTAATACTTACCATATGAGTAGGGAGACCTGAGGTTTATCCCAGAATACATGTAAAAAATCTAGGTGTGGGAACTGCAGAGATGGCTGAGCAGTTAACTCTTGCTACTCCTATAGAAGACCGGGTTCAGTTCCCAGCACCCACATGGCAACTCACAACTGTCTGTAACTCCAGTTCCAGGGTATCAAATGCCCTCTTTTGACTCCTGCAAACACCAGATATGCATATGGTGTATATACATACGTTCAGGCAAATACTCATCCACAGAGAGTAAAAGCAGAAAGAGAGGAAGGGAGGTGAGAGTGGTGCATGCACTTCCATCCACTCTGAGGAAGTAAACAAAACTGGTCACTAAGACTTACTCTCCAGCCAAGCTAGCCTACTTGGTAAGCTCCACGCTAGCGAGAAACCTGTCTCATATAACACAATATACAGTGCCTGAAGAATGACACCCAAAGTTGACCTCTGGCCTTCCCGTACACACATATGTATATATGGACATGAACATGCAGGTACACACACAAGATTTTTGGTGCTACATTTTTATCTTGTCTCTAACAATATGTTTATTAGTATAGAAAGTTCCCCACTCCCTACAGAAAGCACATGAGTTGTAAGATTTATTAATTATCCACTTTTCGCTTTTGTGTTTCTTGACTGTAATGGAAGTTATGTACTGTGTTTATATTCTTAAAATTTAAACAACAAAATACAATTTAGTCGTGATCACTGTTCATCTGTGAGGCTGTGGGAGAGCCAAGCTGGTGCTTTAGGATTTCCAGGAGCCCTGTGAGCCAAAGGCCCTGCTGCTGACAGCATGTCTGCTTGCAGGACATCTGGGCCATCTGCAGCTGGTCTGGAAACAACCTATACTGGAGGTAATGGCTTCTCCACATCCTACAACAGCCAGAGGTGGTTAAACCTCTATCTTTCTGCTTGCAAGTTTTTGGATTTGGCTCTAGCATTGCCCTCTGAAAATCTTCCTCAGTTTCAGATGTAAGTAAAAGCAAGAATATTAAATGAATATTTTTGGAAATACATTTGCTTTGATCACTCATGTCCAACACTAAAGTTCTTTGTGTAAATTGAAGTATTCATAATTTTTGTTAAAATCTTACTCTATTGGAAGGATTAGGGTAACATGGTTAATAGCAGTGAATGGTTGCTGTGGATGGATATGTGTTCCAGACTGCTCACTTAAAAACTAGAGTGCCCCCTGGATATGGAGCAGTGGGGTGGGATACAGACCCAGAAGCTACAAGTTTAGTAGAGGGGACAAAGCCCAGCACGTGAAGGATGTTAGGATGATAGCATATATACATGTTGCTGCATGCCATACAGCAGAGACAGCTGCCAGCTCTGAGGTTCTAGCAGGCCCGGGAAGGGGGTTTGAAATGGAGGCAGTTTAAGGTTCGAGAGGCTCACCATGACAATAGCAGAACTGGAGCTGACCTGCCTGAGGTGTTGAGAAACGAGGCTAGAAAGGGCCTCAACTATGTAAAGCACGGTAAGTAAGAGTGTCAGTGTGGCCTAGAACAATGATGCCACTGGAGCTTTTTTCTTTTTACATACAGATCCCAGTTCCCCTCTTTCTTAGTGCCACCTTTGTGTGGTCTGGGTACCGGTGTAATTGTAGCCTCGTAAATAGTTTGGTCACGTTCCTTTCGTTTCTACTGTGTGGAACAATTTGTGAAGTATTGTTATTAGTTCTTCTCTGAAATTCTGGAAGAATTATGCACTGAAACCCTCTGATTCTGGACTTTATTTGGTGTGGAGACTTTTGATGACTGTTTCTATTTCCTTAGGGGTTATAGGTCTATTTAGTTTATGTATGTGGTGCTTATCCAGGAAATTGTCTATTTCCTTTAAATTCCAGTTTAGTGGAGTACAGGTTTTTGAAGGATGACCTGATGATTCTCTGGATTCCCTCGGTGTCTGTTGTTATGTCCCCTTTTCACTTCTGACTTTGTTAATTTGAATATCCTCTCTCTGCCTTTTGGTTAGTTTAGATGAAGTTTGTCTATCTTGTTGATTTTTTTTGAAGAAACAACTCTTTGTCTCATTCTTTTTGCTACCGAAGCTTTTAATGGATTAAGTGATATTATTAGGTTTCCATTTTAGGAAGTTTGTTTTGGCTGTGTAGTATGGACAAGAACTTGATAAATAAAGCATAATCTTTTTAAAAGGTCAAAAATTTAAAAAGCTTCAAGATAGTTTAAACAGAAGTTGTGCCTTTTACTTTTGGTGGGGTTGTCTTAATGCTGGGAATGGAGTCCAAGGCAGGCAAGCACTCTACCCCTAAGCTGTTGCATCCACAGCCCATATGCCCATATGTGAGTTCTGTCTTTTTTTAAAGAGAGAAGGTTGAGTACATAAATATATGCTTTTCTATGCATGAACTCCACAGAAAGACACAGTAGAAGAGTCTAGCAACATTGATGGTTCCCATAATGGGAAAGTCTTCCTTTTAATATACTTTTTACATGTTGCAATAACCAAGTTAGACTTGATTAAAATACAAGCAACAATACAAAAGCAGTTTCCTTTTGAGCTTTCTGCCTACAGGTTAGTGGAGGCTGAGGTGGGAGGATTACAAGCTTAAGGCAGTTACTGCAGCAACACAATCCGAAAAATACTGTAGGTAAAGAGAAAACATAACAGTCTGAGCACTTTGTAAGTTGTCCTAGTACTGCTCTGAAATGGTGGTAATTTTTTTTCCTTTTGGTTTTTCAAGACAGAGTTTCTCTGTGTAGCTCTAGCTGTCCAGGAACTCACTCTGTAAACCACACTTGCCTCTAACTCAGAGATTCACCTGCCTCTGCCTCCTAAGTGCTGGAATTAAAAGGATGATATAGTAAATTGTGTTACTTTCACTGGTAACACAAACTCCAGGTTTGACTTAGTTTGCATGTGTTGGGTTCATGCTCTTTGTACTAAATTATGTGGCTTATCTTCAATGGCAGTGTTTGCCTTACTAATATCAGCACCTTTACACTGGTAGGTACCGATGGGCCTTTATACCCGAAGCTTCAGATGACTCAGGCTTGGAGGTCAGAAGGCAGGGCATACATCAGCGAGAATTTAAGCCATACGTGGTTCGACTTGCAAAACTTCTTCGGAAAAGGACAAAGGTACTAAAGTTTAGGAGGGTTCTATGTTACTGCGTATTCTTTAACTGTGCTATATTCATGAGTCACCTACTAAGTGTTTCTTAGAACACTAAGGGCATTATCAAGTTGAGATATTTGGAAAATAAGTTCTTGGTTTTAAAGATTCGTGAGCTTTTAAAAACACCTTTTATTTTTAAGAAACATCTGTTTATAATACTTATCTTCATAACATTACTTCTCAATTTCTTCTTTTCAAAATGGGTGAAAACATTGGAACTAATGCTTGAAAGTAGTCGTGAAAGTTCTTATGACAAAGCTGAGTTGAATAATGCCAGAGTAGTTAATCGGATGCCATGTTGAAGACTAGATGTGAACTGATGGAGAGAACAGTTGTACTAAAGGGGTTTGCAGAAAAGGTCTGTCAGATTGGTTTCACAAAGGAACAATCAGGAGATGAAAAGATCACACGCTTTTAAGTTTTAATAAACTTGACAAAAATATCTCATCAAAACTGAATTAAAGAACCATTCTTTTTTCCATGCAACATAAAGTACATGGCTGAAATATGACTAAGTGGATATTTTTCACTTTCCTAAATTATAACCTAGAGATACATCTGATGATCTGAGGTAGTACCACTCTTACTCAAAAGATTTTTCCAAAACAGTACTTATAATATTTCCTCTTTCTATAGCTCTTCTTATGCCTTGTCTCAATTTGTAAGTTTTAAAAACACTGCTGAGAATTAAATCTACTAACACATGACTATTAGAAAGGTAGTAAAGGGACTCAAAAATACAAATGTCTAAAAACATTTTTAAAAACTATTATGTGGTGGAAATCAAGGAGAAAATGAGAATTTCCAGGAACCTGTCCCATAAATAAGGGTAGGAAGGTAAATGCTATGGTTTAGAGTGTGTCCTCTGTCCTTTCTCACTAAGCATCAGGCTAACCTGCCAATCTCTGCCCTGAGCAGAACGGTAATGAAATGGCTTGCTCTTCACTGGTCCTTTGTTAATCATATATCATCTCTTTAGTTCAGAATCTTTCCAGTACATAGAGTCTGGAGGTTGATCAAGTGAACTGTGAGACCCCGTCCACACGTGCTCACGCATTTTGTCTTGCAGCAATGAAGCTGTATTTGATTCTCTACAGAGCAAAAGGGAAGAAAGTGATTAGACGCTTTACTCACAGGATATGTGGAACTTACTTCTTTAGGAGACAAGTGAAAGGATAGAGTTGTGGACCAAAGCCTGATCCAGGTTTTAGGACAGAACTTTCACTTTCCTGTCACAGAATGTTGGGGGGAAATCATGAATCCAGATGCAGTGAACATTCACGGGTCTCTAGACCCAAGCCCTTTGCCCAGAAACTGACCCACAGATAAACAGCTCTTTGCACTGGAAAGTGTCTTCCCATCCAGATCGTTTAAACAAGGCCTTCATGGCCAAACAGACTTTGCACTGGAACAAAGGCTATGAGTTCTCTTTCCTTCCACAGGACGAGGAGGACTTTAAGATTTTGGAGGGAATGGAGATGGCCAAGCATCAGGTGAGGGTGGCTATTGATGCTTGTGATATGGCAGCAAAAGCCACAGAGAGGTAAACAGGAAGGAAGCTGCACTCCATGTGTAAACTTGTCAAGTCAAAGGAGAAAACGTTTGTCTGGAGATGTTTGGTTATTTAGAACAGGAAAAAAAAACAACACTGAAACGTGTGCTTCTCTTGGCTAAGAGCTCAGGGCCAAGGCAGGGAATCCCTCTTTTAAGAAAAATCTCGATAGAAATATAAAAAATACCATGATTCTCTTATTTCGAAATGAGCTATAGAAGTTATAAGCAGCATTTACTTCCCTTCAGGATAAATTTATCTTTATCTGTCCTTTGCTTAACATTTAAATGCAGTTTGATTTGTTTTGTTTTGTTTTTTAGGGGATTAGAGGCTATTTGGTAAGCTAGGAACTGTGTGGTGGCATTAATAATATGAAAGTCCCTGTTTATCCTTTAATCAAAATTGGAGGCTAAATCATTGCTAATAAACTATAGATGACAGCTATGTCCCATTTTTAACTTTTCTTGCTTATACATGGCATTTTCTATTGTAATATATCTATTTTCCTTCAGATTTTAAAGCAAATAGGGCTGAATGGGTAGCTCAGTGGTAAAATGCTTTTAACATCCACAAGGCCCAGGGTGTTATCCCTTACACAATAAATAACCAACCTTGGAATCACGTTAGGAAACTGATAATAAAATACCAGATAAATCAATTTCTTAGTAACATCCAAACTTGGAAGAGAGAACACCATTTGTGAATGACACACTTAATTGTCCTTCCTGTTTTCCTATTTTCATTATTTTCTCCTTGTGCTGTAATATGTGATTTTGCAAGACATAACACCTTCAGTTCACTCAGCCCTTTCTGTGGTAGATTACTCATAGCTGTTGTCACTTAGTTGAGTTCATCAAGTAGCCAAGAAACTGATATCATTTATCAAGTTTTTGAGACAAGATCTTGTATCTTGAACTCGGAGTTCTCCCAAGTTACTAGGATTATAAGCATGTGTTGCCACATCCATGTTAAAGTATCTCTATATCTTAATATATAGTACTTTTTAGTATTTAGTGGATGGTTTTTACATACATTCTCATTTGACTTCCTGGCTGAAAAAGAACAGTTTGCCATGTCACCAGCAGGAACTGTGTGTTGCACAGGTGCAACACAGTAAGTAAAAAGCAGAACTGGAGTAGCATGGGTCCTTTCACTCAAGGTCCAGCTTCCCTCCTGTGTCTAGCCCAACCCCTCATTTCTCTGTGTACTGACAGTAATTATTCACTCTTGAACCCTATAGCCAAGGTCATTTAAACTAAAGTTACCTCTGCAATCTAGTTGAAAACTACTACAAAGGAGTTAAATGATTCAAAATAGCTAATGATAATAAAAGCAGCAGTGATTTTCTTCCTGTCTGGAACGCAGACTTGATGTTAGCATTTGTATCCATTTCTCACATGAGAGACTTCACCTGTTAGTAACAAGTCCCTTTTTGTTTCTGCAGAAGAATCCAGAGGAAGACAGTTCAGGGAGGACCATGGGCTGGGAGCCGGGGCACTTGTTACTCACCCTCTGCACAATGCGCAGCATGGAGCAACTGCTGCCCTTCTTCAATGTCCTCAGCCAAGTCTTCAACAGCAAAGTCACAAGCCGGTGCGGAGGACACTCAGGGAGCCCTGTTCTCTACTCAAACTCCTTCCCAAACAAGGACATGAAGCTAGAGAACAACAAAGCATTCTCCAGCAAAGCCAGGCAAAAAATTGAAGAGATGATAGAGAAGGATTTTCTGGAAGGAGTCATAAAAACTTGACCACCACCAGTGGTTCCCCAGAGCTTCACTGGAAATGTAATTATTTAAAACACACTGCTCTGAGTTGTATAGTTTCTTTTTCTTTTATATATATGTATGTAACAAAACACTCTTCAGGTTGTATTTAATTTAAATATTTGTAAATAAGAGCTTATGTCTGAATGTGGCCTGAATCAAGTTTAAATATAGTTGGCTCATACTGATGATGGTGCCAACGAGAGGTCTATATTTGCACATATAGTCCATTGTTTCACTGTCAGGGTTGTCTTAAACCGACCAAAATACACCATGGTTTTGTTTTGTTTTTTTCTTTTTTTGCTTGTTTCAAGCCTTATTTTTCTTCTTCTTTCTGTGGTTAAAATCCTAGTATCAGAATGGTCACTTTTCTGTCAGAGACTTCATGGATTAGATGGAGCTGTCCCTCCACATCCCTTCCCTGAGTACTCAAGAGTAGCTAAAGCCTGGACCATGCATTCTGGTGGTACAGCACAGGACTCTGGTAGTGCAAAGCCACCTGCCAGTTCTGATGCTGCTACACAAACAAGTCAGTCATTTCTTATTTTAAAGTCTGCCATGGAAAATTGGTTTGTAGAAAGTCTCTACTCTCCCATCTGAGTCAGGTAGCTCAATGCTGCAAAATATCTTGGTTTAGGTAACTAATCACAAAGTCATTGCAAGGAGTTAGTAAGTAATAAAATTTAATTTCCCAACACCCTGCATACACTATAAAATTAATGACACTCAAACTATTAAAACTTAATACAGATAACATCAGAGGTGAGCTTCATTACCAAATCTAAGATTTACCAACTTCTAAACAGTTTTTTTTCTGGTAGTGTTTTAAAAATACAGATCTAAATACATTAGAGTGCATTTGTAGTGTTATGATTACAAATGCCTTAGTACTGCCAGCATTGTCAATAGGTTTATAGAAACATTTTAGAAGTCCATGTTTTAAGAATATAAAAGTTATCTTCAAAAAGATGGTTGTGGCTTTTCTCCAATGCCTCCAGCCAGCTGAAACACCACCAAACTCACTTCATATGCAAGCCTATCCGCACTTTCCTGTGAATCACAAGCAGAGATTAGGTGAGAGACACGGCACCTTCCATCTATCACTGGCTATTCTAGAGGGAGATGCTTCCCGATTCTGATTCAGAGGTATTCAAATCATTTTTTCATCTTTTTGTAGTAAGTTCCAAAGCCCATAAATAAATAGAAAGTGAGTTAGGCTCTTCTAAATAAGGTAAGTTTTCAATTCAGTTTATAAAAATCTCAGTTCCTAAACCGAGTAAGTAACCAAGCCCCTTTAAAATCAAGAAGGCTATGAGGCAGTCATGGTGCACGCCTTTAATCCCAGCACTTTTGGGAGGCAGGCAGATCTCTGTGAGTTTGAGACTAGCCTGGTCTACAAGAGCTAATTCCAGGGCAGGCTCCAAAGCCACAGAGAAAACCTGTCTTGAAAACAACCTCTCCACCCCTCCCCGCGCCCCCACCCAAAAAAAGGCTACAACTGCTAATAATAAGTAATTCTTAGGGTTTCCATCAGAGATACCTATTGTCATGTAAAAATTAACTGCTGATATTTCCCGAGTCCCCATTCAACCACAGTACGTATAAAGTACAAATGATAAAATTGCAGGAAATACAGGTAGAGTAAGAAAAATTTGAAAAGCAATTCAAAAGTCCAGAAAGAAAAGCAGCGTTACCAGCTGCTATGGAAATATTAAAACTGGCTGCTTCCACAAACCAACTCATAGAACTACATTTTTAAAGGGAAAAGAGTAATCTATAATACATTACAATTAGCAAAGGAAGGATTTATGAGATACTCTGCACAGCCAGAACATCACACACTCAAGAATCCACAATAAAGAACGGTTCGGTAACAAATTAAAGGGCGTGTGAAACTATTTAACTATATACCTTGCAGTGCATTCAGTCTTACTCTCAACAAAAAACCTTTTGCCACAGTGAGACTCCAAACACAACTGATTTCTCCTCCCTGTTCCCAACTTACTTGTGAGTCTGCTTCTGCATATACCCGGACAATGTCTTCTGTACCAGAGGGTCGAACAAAAGCTCTGGCAAGCTTGTACTTCTTCACCAGGTCATTGATTGCTTCTTGGAGTCCTGGCGGAGTGAGTGCTTGTCTTTCAGCATCAGTGGTGCTAATAACTCTCCTGTCTGCAACCTGAACACAAAATGTCTGTTACTAGGTTAGAGTTTAACCTGTTCCGAATGGTCCTGCCACAGTAACAGGCTGGCATTTCAAGTTACTAGACTCAGTGCGCATCAGTGAAGCACACAGCAGGTAAGGAGACCTGCAATAAAACCTGTTTGATTGCGCTAAAGCCGTGTAGCATTTTTATACAACTATTGAGGAAAAATGCTTCAGTATACAAAAATTTACCAAACAGAGCATTTCCACACATTGTCACAAAGCTATTAATAAAATAATGGTCAAAGCTGGGCAGTGGTGGCTCAGGCCTTTAATCCCAGCACTCGGGAGGCAGAGGCAGGCGAACCTCTGTGAGTTAGAGGCCAGAAGTACAAAATAAGTTATTTTTTAAAGTGTGAATAAAGCAGTTGTTATAAGGCCTTACTTTCTAAGTGGAATGTACATACAGACTGAAATAGAACGCACTCAGAAAACACTTGGCATAGGAAGACTGGAAGAACAGCTATATTCTAAAAGGTTGTTTGACACTCTCTTCACCTTAACTTTGAGTTGTCTGTTAGGAAGATCAACATAAAGAGCATCCCACTGCTGCACAGTCAGGCCCTTCAGAGCCAGGATGGCCTCAATCACCAGCATATCAGAAATAGCATCTCCAGTCGCCTGCAGGATTGGGGAAACAAAGCTGATAAGCCAACTTTCCATAAATCCCACATGAATGTTGTCCACTTAGAAAATCAAGCTGCCCTGCCCATGAATTATTAAAAAGAATGTGAACACAAATGAGATGCACATAACCATGAAAGATAACAATGACATGTATCCAAAGCTGATCAAACCAACTCATGAGAAACATCTAGACTTGGGAAAGGTTTGACTCTGATATCCTATGACTCAAATTCTTTAACTAGATCTCTTAGATATCGTAATGATGGAACTAATAGAGAAAATAAGCTTTGGTTCAAGATACACTTGAAGTTGGAGCCAAACTTGAAGCTTGTGATTCATTTGTAAAATGGACATTAGAACCTTGATTCCTGCATTACTGCCATGGTTTTAAAGACAGGTGGGTAAAACACCAATGCACACCAAACACTGGGACTCATGTCTTCCCTGACTGTCTGTCGTTCTTCCACAGAGCACTGCAGCTTCAACTGTCTGATTCTCAGGTGCCTTGCTCAAACATGTAAATGGCACAAAATTTCCCCAAGGCTGTCTTTGAAAGATTAGCTAAACACACAAAACACATAACTCAGTAGCTACTAAGTATACTTGAACATTTCAACATTTCCTGATAATAAATCAAGAACAGGAAGCATATATTTCCTGTGTAAGTCTTAACTGTGGGCGCCATTGTTAAAAGCAAACCACCCAGCCAGGTCTCCACATTTTATTAATCCTGTGTTCCATGTTTTGACTGATGTTAAGGTAACTCAGAGCCTGGCCCCTCACCAGCTCTCACCTGGTTGAACAAGTCGATGATGCTCACAAGCATCTTGGCAGCTTTTCCTTTCTCATCTTCAAGTTCTTGCGCTAGTCTCTTTATCTTCACTTCAACGGCTTCACTAAACACTGCCTGCAGCAGAAGCAAAAGTCAGTCACAAACTCTAGGTCACCTGTCATTCCTAGTGAATCTGGAAAGACTGAAGAGAAAAATAATGGCAGCCTGATGTCTGCCTGCCATTAATGTTAAGATCAAATCAGAGCACAATGGGTTTTATTACTAAGGAAAAAGTTCATGGATTATAAGACTAATTAAAAAGATACCACTTTGACAAAAACTGAATACATGAGCTCAGTGTGTTCTCCAGCCCAATTCTTGACCTCTGCAGCAGGTGCCTTTAAGGGATATGTGATTGTAACATCTGAAGGAATTCATTGCATTCACCAGTATGGCAGACAGTGTCAGATACTTATTACCATATACATTCTTTGTTTTGAAATGCCACACCCATCCTTTTAGAGTCCTAGAGGAACACACAGAGATTGATCACTTGAGGAAATGGGCATTTCTTGGTAAAGTAAGTTACAGGGTGATCACCTGGTTTTTGTAAATAAATTTTTACTGAACAGGCATATCCATTTTTTCTATGAGTAAAGTTGAGCAGATTCAACAGAGACCTGTGTTCCAATGCTTGCATTAGATCACTGGAGTTATATTTTAGCTGCATTTTGTAGAAATATAATCTCCTTCTTATATTCATGACTCTTCTAAAAGCCAAATTGAAATTAATAAAGAATGATTTACACTACATTCAAATATTCTGATATCTACCTCAAATCCATTCATGAAATGAGGTGAAGTACAAAGACATTTCTAAATAAAATCTGAATTTAAAAAAGTTATACCCTTTAAAATAGTGACTTTTATGATAAATTATATATGACTAATTTTTTTAGAATATTCCTTCTGATAAAGCCATGAAACAAAACAAAACAAAAAAAACCTATGCTAGTATATACTGTAAACCCATAAAACTTTTCATCATAGCTACTGACCTGCTCTCTATAAGAAGTAGGAATATTTTAAGAAAATGAACAGTAGATTTTAAAATAATTTATTGGGATTTTTTGTGTGCTCTCTCACTCTCTCTTTCTCTGCATGCGTGTGTGTGTGTGTGTGTGTATGTGTGTGTGTTCATGCTGAGGCCAGAATTGATCCCTCCAGTATTCCTCAAGTGCTGCCCACCTTGTTTACTGAGACAGGATCTTACATTAGAAGGTCAGTGATCCCCAGGGATGCACCTGTCTCTACCCCCACAGCACTGACCATAGTCATGCCTAGTTACTCAACTGAGCTCTCCCCAGCCTTTTTAAAGAACAAATTGGTACACTTCTTCACAGAGGATCATTAACAGTCTTTTAAAAAGACATCTTATAGCATCTAAAAGTATACATTGAATATGTAATACCTAGTCATTTAAACAAACTACAATAGAAATCCACTATTAAGAAAAATCCTAGCTGACATCTTTAAGGCAACTTACTGTGCCATGCCCATTTGCTTCAAAATAAACTCCAATGTCAAACTCTTGAGCCTTGTGATGCAAATGTTTGACACCAGTTTTGGTGCAATAAACAGGTACCTACAACACATTGAAGAAAGACAACAACAGTCAGTGAATTATATATCTATTATTCCAGAAATAAATCTGAAAACTCCCTCTGGTGCTAAAGGCAATAAAGGCTGTTAAAACACCCACACAGGGAATGACTGCAGATAGGTGGCATTGTCTGTTTTCAGAAGGTTGTTCTGTGGTTTGTGGAGTAAGCCACAGACCTCATCTAAACAAATGTGCAGGATGCTATTCCAAGAGAACTCTTAATAAACACTGGCTAGCTAGATTGGGTCCCCAGACTATTTCTTACTAACTATTGGCTTAGAAAGTTAAGAAGGGCCAGTTAGGGATGAGTGTGGTAGAACACACCTTTAATTCTAGCATTCTGGAGACAGAACAGCCTGTTCTGTAGAATGAATTCTAAAACAGCCAGGGCTACAAAGAGAAACTCTGTATTGAAAAATGAAAATAACAAAAAGGCCAGATAAACTTTCAAGACAAATCATAGATAGTAATAAATAACCCTGACTGAATCAGCAGCAGTGAATAGGCTATCAACTGTGGCTCTGACAGATTTAGGAGAAACTGACAGAAACAAAGCATCCAGTAAGATCAGCATTTGTTGGACTTGAAAAACCACAGGATGGCAAGGACCAAAAGTACTTAATCCAAAAGGAAAAAGGGTCGAGAAGTTAACAGTTTCTGTTGTGTATAAGTCTCTAAACATACTAGAATGTACAGATGAGATTTTCAAATTAAACGCTCATGCACTATGACATTCTGGTAAAGAGCAATGGATGTGCAGTGGCATCAGAAGATCAAGGCTCCTAGGGATGCCATGGCCATCATAATTGAATGCACTCTATGTTAACACAATGACACCAACTCATGGCACACACTGCATTTCTCAGAATGTGTCCTAGGGTCAAGCACTAACCCCATGAACGATCCTGGAGTGAAGCCACTTTAACCATATATTTAAAGTAAGGCAAAAGCAAGCAGCCTCCGTGATGTTTTCTTTTGACCGTCTACTATTCTCTTAAGAAGCAGGAAGTTCACATGAAATTCCGTTTATACTTCTCTAGAAGACTGACCACAGTTGACAGCAGCAGGCCCAGGCATAATTCTTGGACCCTTTTCACCTGCTGTGCTGACTCACTTATCTGCCCAGAGCAGGAATTTGGAGAAAAACAAACAGCTTCCAATTTTGTCCATGAACCCCAGACTCAGAGCAGGGACTGTGAAGAGTCTGGTTCTCTGACAGACAGTAGAAAAACAAACAAATGCCAAGAAGCCCAGTCTTGAGGAACATCACAGGCAGGTGCTAAGGCGAGCACTCCAGGAACCAAGCAAACATTCCATTTCATACACACTCCAAACACAGATGATTACTGGTAAAGATCCTCTCACTTCCTAATGTCAGGCTCAAGCGCGACCAGATACCATTCTCGGCCATATCTAAAATGAGCCTTGAGTTGGAGGTCCTAGCTGAAGAAAGTCGGTCACTAGGAGACCTACTTTTCTATCCTTCCTTTCTTCCTGAGTAACCCAATGTGTCCATGTGCTATACCTCCTGCCATACCTTTCCCATGGTGGGCTGTATGCCTTCTCACTGAGGCAGTATAAATCCTTCCTTGCCTAAGTTACTTTCCAGGTCTTTGATCATAAGAAATGAAGATATAGGTGCAATATGACCTTACTCTTTGTGTTTGAAAGAGGCATCTTCAGTCCCATAAACACTCATGATTACAAATGCAGCTCAATTAGCCTTTAAAAAGATTTGTATCCACAAGATCACAGAATTCAGAGTTATGATATGCTCCAAGGTGAAAGTCTCCCTCCCTTTCGCATCAGAGACATGTGACCCTTTTGAGCCTGTCACCATCACCCGGACAGTGGCTCAGCTTTGTTCACTGCTCGCTTTCCCTCACAGAAAATAATGGTAACGTTATTTTCCTCACAGAATTATCTTCCCACACTAGTCAGAAAAGACCCAAAACTGAAGACAACATGGTACCTTCATAACTTCTTCAAGGTATCTTGTAGAACTTCCATTTGCATACGCAGTCTGTACCACACCAATGCTCAGACTTTCTCCAATCTAGAAGGAATCAATGACACACTTAACCAGCCATCAAATGCACAAGAGCCTCTGACACAGTCAGAGTTGTCAAGGCAACAGAATCAGCGAGTTCCACCCTGGCTTAGTTTAGGCAATAAATGGCATTCTAAAAGAAAGCACACACTACCAGGAAAAGTCTAAAATACTTGCAAGCACAGTTTTATAGTGAACCCTCTTTAAGACAGTGGGTGATCCCTGTAAATTATTAATAAACCTTTTCCATATTATTATAATTTCCAACTATATACTAATTCAGGGATTTTCCCAAAAGAAAAATAAAGGGGGGATCAATTACTAAACTTATAATGACAGTAATAATTATCTTGGGTATTATTTGTTCTTAGAACTGTATGCTTTACAGTAATGATGGAATTCTCAGTAATGCATGCATGCATCATCAGTTTAAAAGAAACCAAAACTTCACAAAGCTGCATGATAAAGCCAAGCCAGTATCAAGAAAAGGAGCATGCATACAGTCATCTAGAACCACCCTCACTGCGACTAAAACCCACACCCCTGTGCTGAGATGGCTACAATTGCCACTCATTTTGGTTTTCAGGCCACGACTGTCAGGAACCCCCATCCACAGTGGCGCTAAGACACTGGAAAGACTGGTGTGGAAGAGCTCACTAGCAAGTCTAGATGTCTCCCCAGCCCCCACCTTACCTCCAACAGGAGCTCTTTAAGGAAACTGCTAATTAATGTGGCTATCTTGTCTCCATCTAGGAGATGAAAGTGGCCGTCTGCATCACTGTAGTAATACACGATCCTGTCTGCATCCCCATCAAAGGAGCAGCATCTTTCATCAGACTTCATTTCCATCCCTAGCACACAGGGAGATTCAAAGTGCGCTTCAGACTAGGAAACGGGAATAGAACTCACTGTATAAAACGTTAGATTTTTCCCTGGCACACGTAATTATTTTTCAGTGTAGCAGATGAAAACTAGCATTATATGCTACAGTACAGCACATCCACTAGAAATTTTTCAAGAGATGTTTTTGAAGATTCTTTCCAGCCAGTGGTGGTGGCGTACACCTTTAATCCCAGTACTCAGGAGGCAGAGGTAGGCAGATCTCTGTGAGTTCCAGACCAGCCTGGTCTACAGAATGAGTTTCAGGACAGCCAGGACTGTTACATAGAGAAACCTTGTCTCAGAAAACCAAAAAGAAAAAAAGATTCTTTCGAATACAAACCAATGTCTCCAGTTTTCAATGTTAGTATCCAGTTAGTCTACTGATACTCTTTTTGAAAACAGGACATCATTATGTAGTCCAGGTTGGCCTCCAATTTAGGAGCCTTGTGCCTCTGCCTCTGAGTGCTGAGGTTAAAGGTGTGTACCACACTCCCAGCTACTGGCACTTTTCCTGCAGGCTAAATTCTTGCAAGGCAAACTAAAATAAAAAATACAAACAAAAAACTCAAATCTATTCATGCTAAAAAGTGCTAGTATACTAAAATAAAATTTTATTAACCAATTGGTTTGACTAGGCAAGTCTCCCATACAGTTTTTTGAAACTAGAGATTTCTAAATGTAAGATTTCTAAAAGTATAACGCTGCCCTTTACATATTAAAAATAAAAATCAGCAATAGATAGCGTATGTGCTTTGACTCAATTCTAATATAAGTATTTTATCTACTTATGCTAACAGTAACAAGAAATGGAATTAGGAGCACAGAACTATAACTTCCAAGAGCTCACTGACACTTCAGCAACTGTCACATCAGATTTATTAGAAAACCTTGCTGTCCCTAGCAACGAAGGCAGCAGACAAAGTCAAACTGTTAGCCTTGCTTCCTGCAAGTCAGAGAAACAGCGGGGGGGGGGTCAGTACCCAGCAATGGAGGGAGTGAGACCTCAACAATCAGACAGACAGATGAAGGACAGGTAATACCAAAACAAGCACTACCATGAAAAGACTGTATAAATTCAGCTCCTAATTGCTTACTACATACAGTAAGGCAGAACAGGCCACACAAGTGAGGCAGAAGCAAGACGGCTGTGGAGCGGTGGCAGCTGACCTGCATCATGGCAATGGAGGTTTGATGGCTTTGGGTAGAGAAATCAGAATTATTCAGCAGTGAACTGAAACTGCAACTGAGCACAGGTAAACCCAGCAACCCAGACAATACACCTGCAAGCCAGGCCAGGTTAGCAGAGAGCATCCTAGGGTCTGTAGGAGAGCATCTGGAACACCTCTTTACTACAATCAACACCTGAACAGGATTATTCCAAATCTTCCCGTGTGGGAAACACAGTGTCCACTGATGATTTAAAGGCATCTTCCCATTCCCCTTCCAGCCAGTCTAGTGCAGACAGCGTGAAGACAAAGCTACCTACAGTTGCAGCCTCTGGATCAGCGGGTCTCAGCGTGCTCACTGGACCTGAGCCACCAGCAAAGCCTGGCAACCTACCAGGGATAGGAGTTCCCATCCTGAGCGCATCCCACCCTGGACAGACTAAATGGGAAAGGGAGTGGGGCCACCTGTGTGCTGCCGTGGCACTTCGATTCTGACAGGGTCTCAACTTTGAGAGCTGTCACTCTACTGCGATGTTTTCTGTTTCAGCTTTCAAGCAGGAGCTGACCGTGTTCTGAATGGCATTTATGAGGGGGAAAATTTCTAAGGACCCCAAGGTGACAGAGCCCGCACAAGTGGTGTGAGTCTTCACTCGGAGACAGCTTGGCCTTTAAGTGACCCGGCTCCAAAGAGATCTAGGATGAGGCATAGACACGGCCTCTGGGACACACACCGCTGCTGGACATACCCTGTGGGGGTTTCTGGTGACTCTTCACAAAGTCAGCACCACACAGGTGATTGAGCCTTCCTTCAGTCCCATCATTAAACAGCTGAACCGACAGTCCCTGGGAGAAATAGTGCGCCATTTCTTTCAGCTTCAAGGCTCCTATGCCGTTTGCACAGTCGACTTTAACTGATCTGTTTTCATCTCCACTGCAGGAAACCTTCAAAGGAAAACGACATGGAAGGAAAACATCAAGTCACCAAAGCGAATCACCAAGCACACATGCATGTACGTATACGTGTGAAGGTCTTCTGTTACTCCCACTTACTCGTCTAGTTTAATCCAGAGTATATGCACACACAGCCAGATGAACTACAAAACATCAGAGAAAACCCGAGCAGCACAGCAGTGGCGCCATGAGATGGACAACATATAGAAAGGCATCAGAACTGAGTCTCAACACCGCGTGACTGACCCGTAAAAACATCAGTCTTCCCCCGTGAAAACATCAGTCTTCCCTTCTTGGCAGCCACTTAAATGTGCAGATGAGTAAGTACACAGGTGTCTGGGTAACGATAGCATTCTCTAGAAGGCATATAATATTACGGGGCATAGTTGGGGCTTGGGGAATTTTTGTTTGTTTTATACTTATCAGTCTTTCGACAGTCCCCACACCAAAACCTGAGATTTATGAGGACAAGCACTATCCACATCCTGCACATCTGCAGAGTTGATCATGGAGTCTACCAAAAAGAAATTCCTTCCTACAGTACTTTCCCAAGCCAGCAGCATCAATGTTATAATCAAGTTCGTCTCAGTGAATACTGATAACCACAAGCAAAGATACCATGAGGTTTCCCAGGATGCGTCTGGCCATTATACACACACATCAGAGCCTGAGCCCTGAAGAGAGAAACTGGAGATAAGTCACATTTGGAGGAAAGGAGGAGGACAGGTGGCAAGCCATGTAAGTTAGGTGGCTGATTGACTGTATTACCCTATTCCCTGCTGACATTCCAATCACGATGGAAAGGTCTCACCTGTTTGGTTAGGTCTACAAAAGCCTTGGAGAGTTTCTGGCAGTAGCCTTCTATGGTTGCCTTTCCATACCGGCCTCCGGAATTCCGACAATACACCATGTAGTGCAACTGAGGGGTGGTCAACAGGCCATAATCTGCCCAACAGACACAAAGGGCAGGTCAGCTCACTAGTAACAAAAGAAGCTCATAAGAATTCATACTATGCCGGGCGTTGGTGGCGCACGCCTTTAATCCCAGCAATCGGGAGGCAGAAGCAGGCGGATCTCTGTGAGTTCGAGGCCAGCCTGGTCTACAAAGTGAGTGCCAGGACAGCCTCCAAAGCTACAGAGAAACCGTGTCTCGAAAAACCAAAAAAAAAAAAAAAAAAAAAAGAATTCATACCGTAAGAAAGCTAGATCCAAACCACGACTCTGCCTCCCCAAAAGATAACAGTGCTGGTGACGCTGCCTTAAACAGAAGGACTTCTACCTGATATACAGACTAGTTGGTTGGTTGGTTGGTTTTTCGAGACAGGGTTTCTCTGGATAACAACAATGGCTGTCCTAGAACTCACTTTGTAAACCACACTGGCCTCGGACTCACAGAGATCCACCTGCCTCTGCTCCTGTGTACTGGGATTAGAGGCACAGAGGTTGTTTACCATGTAAACAAGCCTAGAGGTGGGTTTCTGCTTACCAGAAAAGCAGAACTCCTAAGGCAGACACAGTTCGCTAGGAACAGTTACTAACCTTCCCCCAAAGGTCAGTTACCTAGGTGTCAGGCACCTAGATCCAGGTCAGTACCAGCTCAGATCCCCGCCCTGATGACTGTGACATAAAACCTACTTGCTTTCTGCCATTTTTCTCTTCTTTCTGCTCCATCCACACCACACCACATGCACGCACGCACGCACGCACACCACAGGAGAGAAAGCCTTAGCAGTCTGTTTCTACTCACAGGTGGTCTAGTTGGTGGCTTATAAAAGAATCTCAGAAAATGTAAACACAAAACTTTCAAAATATCCAAGGGCACAAATATCCACTGGTATTGTGATAGCTAACATTGTTTTAAATTTTAATTACTGTGCTTAGGAGAATATAAAACAAAAATGCCTCTAATCTGTAAGCCCTACTTTCCCCAAAACAGAATAACTTCCCAGAGTGCTGGGGGCTGCTCTTGTAATTGCCTGGTCTTGAAAATTTTTAACAAAAATGTTATTCATGTACAATAACAAACTACTTCTGTAAACAAGCATGCTTGCCCTGATTGCTTGTAGACAGGGTGTGTGCTGGATTACACTTAGGCAGGAAGTACATCAGGATGTGTGCTGCTTGCATCTGGCTGCAGAAAGGCATCAGGTACACAGCCTTGTGAGTTTTGCCTTTGAAACCCCTGACTCATGTAAATGGACACTTCACCCTAGGAGTCCCAACTCTCAGGTGTAGACCTGATGCCAGCATCCAAGTAAAGCCTCTTCTTTGTTAAAATTAACCATGGTCAGACCAGTGAGTCTCTGAATGATCCCAGAACTATAATAGTACCATTATAAGGACATGTTGCATAATTCTAAAAGAACTGTAAACTACTAGTAATAGCAAAATATTAATCATTTAAAATAGGTTACAGATAAAATTCAAATGAACCATCTTGAAAACCACCAAAATTACAGGATAAGAAATAATACAGTGTGATAATACACAACACCTTTAACCTCAGCACCTGAGAGGCAGGAATAGGTGGATCTCTGAGTTGAGTTCAGCCAAGAAACACAGTGAGATCCTATCTCAAAATAAAAATGAATAAGTAAAAAGACAAGGGGGTTGCAGGAATTCCTTGTCACTTGGGAGGGATCATCAGGACTGAATTTCTGTGACTCCCAGGAGCAGGGCTGAAGGTATCCTTGAGGACACTGCTCCAAGCTGAAGTAGAGCTGGTCTTTAAGCAGGAAAACAAGTCCACACTGGGCTAAGATGAGTAACCTGGTAGAACAGGCCTTCATTCCTGCTATAAGGGTGCATCGGGGCTGGGCCACCCCACGTCTGCACTCTCTGCACTGTCTTAGCAGTGAGGAGAGCTGGACGAATCCCTCGGGATCTGTCTCCACAAGCACAGGCCCTTGTGCACAACACCAGCCCCACTACAGTCCAAAAGACCCCAGTGACTAGCAAACTAAAGCAGGCCCAACCAGGCAGTCACCAAGGTGCCTGGTAGAACACTAAACTTGGCCAAAAGAGTATGCTTGTCAGACATCTTAATAAATGTGTCACAAATAACTTTCCAAGGAAACAAAGAGATACCTTTCAAACAGGGCTGGACTCAGAACACAAGAAGCAAGGGAGACGGATGCCAGGCATGAGCCACACCAGTGGTCCTCAACCTTCCTAATGCTGCGGCTCTTTAATACAGTTCCTTGTGTTATGGTGACCCCCAAACACAACATTATTTCGTTGCTAGGTCATAACTGTAATTTTGCTACTGTTATGAATCATAATGTAAATATCTGATATGCAGGATATCTAATATGTGCCCCCCAAAGGTTAAGATCCACTCAGCTAGATGAAGCCTCAAAGGAAGAGTTTGGTATGGGGCAGAGGAGCATTGAGTTCCTGGGCCGTCAGCCACACAACAGAATGGTTCCAGAGGTCAGTCTCTCTAGTGAGAGGAGGTGCAAAAAAGTGTGGATAATCGCCTAAGTTCATTAAATGGAAATGGTTCAAAATAAAATTAAAAAATTATCCTAAAAGACACGCTAAAGGAGGAAACCAGGATTGTGAGAGTAAAGTTGAAACTATCAAATATTGAGTGGCATTTTCCTTTGCTTTCTGATGCCATAATAAACCTTGACCAAAAGCAACTTGAGGGTTGGGCGTTGGTGGCGCACGCCTTTAATCCCAGCACTCGGGAGGCAGAGGCAGGCGGATCTCTGTGAGTTCCAGACCAGCCTGGTCTACAGAGTGAGTTCCAGGACAGCCTCCAAAACAATAGAGAAACCCTTTCTCGAAAAACCAAAAAAAAAAAAAAAAAAAAGCAACTTGAGGAGGAAAGTGTTGATATTTAGGCCTCTGCCTCCCGAGTGCTGGGATTACAGGCGTGTGCCACCACTTTCCCCTTTTTAAGATCCCCTTTTCCCTAATTAAAAAACCCCTCTGCTTGAAATCTGTTGCATGGCATCTTTCTCTCTCATGCTGCTTTTTAAAAATTCCAACAGAAAAGTACCCAGCACGAGGCAGGAGCTCCAGGCAGGAACTGAAAGAGGCCCTGGGGAATGCCGCTTGCTCAGGGCGGCTGCTCTCCTTGGCATTCTCCTCCCAGTTTTACATAGTCCAGGCCTACCTGCACTAGAATGGCAGCCACAAAGGGCTGAGCCTCTCTCATACTGGTTAGCAGTCAGAGAACACCCTGCAGACATGGGCATAGGCCAATCTGATGGAGGTAATTCTCCAGTGAGGTTCCTTCCTTCTTCCCAGTTGACAAAGACTAACCCACACACTATGTAACTGTTACACACACTTAAAAAAAAAAAAAAAAGCATCTTCCTGCCCCCTGTCGGTCACCTGACAGAAAGCTAAATCCTAAAGTCCTTTGATTCAAGAAAAGCTCCAGGGTTTTCCATTGCCCGAGTCTTTAATCGCTCCTACACAAAGCTCACTGCACACACCAGAGCGCTCTCCCTGATCTCTTTCACTAATTCCCTTTCTTCAAGTGAGTGGTAGCTTAAAGCAAAAATGGCCACATTATTCTTGCGAACAAAATCCCTTAACTGGGCCCCACTGCACATGGGTTACAATCCAAATCCTCATTTTTTAAAGTTATTTGGTACCTGCTTATATCCCTAGTCTTACTACCCTCCCTAAATGGAATAACATCAGCCTTCCTTGAAATGGAGGGAGATAAGAAAGGTGTTAAAAAAAAACACTCAATTAACACTCAAATTTTTTCTATATTTAACATACTAGAAGTGATGCATTTAGAAACAGAATAGGTCAGAGAAAGGTCAACCACTCTGGAATGATAGAAAGATGGGTCTGGCAATGTGGATGCCAGCTGGGCCAAGGCTGGAAGTGAAGACTCACTCAGCCCAATCTGTACCTTGGGCAAGAACAGGCCCTGCAGTGGGCCCGGAACCAACTTGATGAAACACTATTCACGTCACTGCATTTGTTCAATGCACAGATGGATGCTTGCTTGTATGAAGCACTACTGACTAAGATGAGAACCTCCTTATCTACATAAACACATCGTGGACTGTGACACACAGTGAAACAGACACCATAGAGCAGGTAACCAAAAGTGCTTATGAATGAAAGCTTGCATGCATGAAGGTGGCTGGAGAGACAACCATTCAGACACGATATAGATCAGAGAGGGGGCCCCAGAGGAGCCCTCATCAAAAGGGACAGAAAACAAGCAGGAGAGAGGACCAAGAAGGAATGCGTCCAAGCAAGTTCAAGGAAGGGTAAAGAGCAAACTGTCACAGTGCAGACAGCTGCAAGCCCACAACCCACGGTGAAAAGCACTGAAATGTGGGCTCTTGTGTTTTGTCATAGACAACAACTTCCTTCCTCCCTCCCTCCCTACTTTCCTCCCTCCCTCCCTCTCTTTCTCTCTTCCTTCCCTCCTTCCCTTCTTCCTTCCTCCCTCCCTTCCTTCCTCCCTCCCTCCCTCCCTTCCTCCCTCCCTTCTTCCCTCCCTCCCTTCCTTCCTTCCTTCCTTGCTCCCTTCCTCTCTCCCTCCCTCCCTTCTTTCCTTCCTTCCTTCCTTCCTTCCTTCCTTCCTAGAACAATGCCTAGCAAGGGGCATGGGGTGGCCAGGGAGCAAAGCACAGGTAGACAATATGAGGACGGCATTCAGACCCCCAGCACCCAGACAAATGTTAGGCAGGTGTGGGGGCTACCTCGAGCCCTAGTCTGCTGCGGGTGAGGCTCTTCCCTGTCATGAATAAATTTAACGCATACCAGTCACGTGGCTGAAGAAAACACTCATGGAAAATGAAAAAACAGCACTCACGGAGTGAAGAGGGTTCCCTGGGACAAGCTACCTAGCAAGACTGACCACACTGACCTTAGCCAAACACCCGAGAAGCGACTGGCTGAAACAGTGAGCTCTGAGTTCAAGTAGGAGATCCTACCGCAACATATAAGGTAGGGAACAATCAAGGAAGATACCAAACATCCACACACACACACACACACACACACACACGCACGCATGCAAAAAATAAAAAAGACTGTCAATCCATACTATACACACTGCACCGAAAAAGTCTCAGGCTCTCTGTAGTTTAACCTAACAGTGCAGGATCTCCATTTACCCAGATGATCCAGTCATCCGAGTATAGAGACAGCACCCTGAACAATTATAAAGAGACCCACCTATGGCAGGCTACGGGCTGACCAGGTGAGCAATCAGAGACAGCAAGCTGAGGGAGGGAGTGCACAGCTCTATCAGAACAGGGTTTGCAACCATTTCTGAAATGGCCTAAACACATTTCTGCCATGTATGAAGGCCAAGCAGCATTCTCAGTGTAAGTGACAATTGCATAACAAAAACATTCACAGACTCTGGAAGATGCTGACAGTGCTCATGTCCTACTGTGTCAAATACTCAGCAAACATTGAATTTTGTGTAAGAAAATAAACACACCCATCTAATTAGTTTGTGAATTTGTTTTCATCCTTTAAAAATGGTAGGATTATATGTACATGTAAGAATTACTTGATAATAAGTTTCTTTATGATTTATGATCAATAATCACCAGACTTGTGCTTTTAGATATCTGTATACCAGGTGTTGTGAAAAATTCTATTAGGCAAAAGGAGTCTCAAGTAAAAAAGATTTAGTATGCTCTACCCCATGGGTAAACAAACTCATATGGCTGCCCAGAAAAACCTGCAACATTTTAAAAGTTTATCTAGGGATTAATTTCTTAAATTTATTTTTTATTATTTGCAAACTTTAATTATGTGCTACTTTTTAAATTTAAAAAAACAATTTCTTGAGTAACTTAAAAGTACATACCATGAAATTGACCTCCTAAAACAGTCACCCCATCTATTACAGACTGTGAAAGTTTCTCACTACTGGGCCTGCAAAAGGAAAGAAAGAAAGCAAAATGAATGAACGGGAAAACAAATGAAGGAGTGTGTGCTTACATTTCAGAGTAACACATTCAATGAACCTGAAAGTTGTCAACTCTGTCAAAAACAGGGAGTGAATTACAAGCATTTTCCCAGGAGCCTTTGCACAGGTGACTTCTTCAAAAACAAATTTGGCTTTTAAATTTACAGACTAGATACAAAGCTAGAATTCTTCCACCCACTTGAGAAGCTAAGGCAGGAGGATCACTATGTTCAAAGCCTGCATGGTTGAGTCCAAAGCTAGCCTGGGTAAATTTGTGAAACCACATCAAAATTAAAAAGAGGGATAGGACTATAGCTCAGTACACGTGTGTTTTCCTAGCATATACAAAGCCCTGGGTTAGATACCCTGTACCATCAAAAAAAATTTTAAAAAGGAAAAAGTGGGTAGGGATATAAAGGAGGGCTGGAGAGATGGCTCGGTACTTAAAAGTACATATTGTTCTTTCAGAGGACCCCAGTTCAATTCCCAACATAGGCAGCTCACAACTGCCTGTAACTCCAGCTCAAGGAGATCTGATAACCCCTAACTTTCTTGAACACACAAAAGCAATATGAAGAATATTTTAAAATATATAAAGGATACCCTAACTCCTACCCAAATCCTTTAACCATAGCACTATGCATCTTAGTTAATAATAGCAACAATCAACACAATGGTGTAGGAGTATAGGGTCTTAACCTACTGAGAGCATAGAACCTAGCTTTCATTTTTAAAAAATCAGAACAAATTACTCGTTTGTCTGAAAAGCAAGTGAATCATTATATAATTATAGGTAAGAGACAGATACAGTAATGGGATAACTGACTTGAGGACAAGAATCAATTTCCTGTTTCTGCTGCCTATGGACCTAATGAGTGAGTAGTTTTTACAAACACAGCACAGAGTAAAACCAAAGTCCAAGCTATCCAGAGAATGAGAAGGTATATCCTTAGAAAGAAGGCTAAGATGAAGCCAGAACTTGCATAAAAGTGAAAATGACTACTGTTTCAAAGTACACTTTTAACCCACATTGCAAAAAAGGAGGCTTTTGTAAAGCAAAAGCTGCTGAGCATGGCAAATACAGAGACTATAAAATGCTGTTTCCAGTGAATTCCAGGATGAAGAAATGACAGAACATCTGAACTAGTAACAGATTAGAAAGCAGATCTCTAAGTGCAATGTGTTGAAAATCATATGCTCTGACTCTGCAAGGGGGAAACACACGTACAAACCGTCACAGAAATTAGGTGCTTCTAACACGTAAGGGTACAGCTCTTTTGTGCATGTTATTTCATGTAACTCTCACAAAAATGCTGATTTATCAAGAGCCTTGACATGGAAAGTCCCAAAGACCACAAAACCTGCTCAAATCATGTAAGAGTTAAAAGTGGGGTGACTCCAAACCCAGACTTAGTTGCCATGTGCCACTTAAAAAAGGCAAAATGACAGCGAGGTGTGGACTCAGCCTCTCAATTCTCCCCACTGGCCCTGGGCATGAAGACAGACGAAATCCTTCACAGGTGTTTCCCCTTTAGCAGGGACCTCTGATGATCACCTGGTGTCTCTACCAATCACCACGAAGGCAGCCTGCTGGGGATCCACGGCTTCTTTCTCCATGATGGCACCGAGCACTCCAGGCATATCCTGCTCCTCAGCACTGGCTAGGCAAGTAGCGTGCTCCTCCCAGGAAGGGGCCAACATTTCCCCCAAAGGATCAATCAGTTTCACACCGTTGTCTTCCTAGGAGAGAAGCAGACCTTCAGCAGAAGGTACAGCGGAAAGGACCGGAGGAAAACCCTTAGCTGTCATTCCTCCAACTGATGGCTGAGCAGCTGCCCTGGGTACCACTGGCGCCAATGCCAGGCACCAGCAGGTGTTTCCCTTACATCACCCCTTCAGTTCCTTGTGACGCTATCCTTACTGATAAGGTCTCCATCCAAACCTGGAAGGACATTCTGTTATTCCTCTACTCTGGACACTCTCCAAAGAAACAGCCTCACTTCATTCCCTCCACACCCAGTTTAGCCGAATGGCCGCTACGAGAAAGTTGTTTCAAGCCCAAAGGAGCATACAGAGGAGGCGGCGCCCTCCCAGCACTAGAATGTGAACTTTGGTTCAAAGTGCTCTGTCACTAGGGCTTTAGTCTTGTAAATAAGGACACCAACTTGTTACCTCGGGATTGTGTGAGGCTGTAACCATGACTCCAATGGTGGATCTTGTCTGCTTTGACCTCAGGACAGCTAGCAATCCCATTCGAAACATGATATGATCCAGATGTTGGGCATTTGTCCGAAATCCAGCAGTCCCATACTGGAGAATGAGTCCCTGGGGCTTGGCATGGAATGCTGAGCGTTTAGAAACAGCCTCCAGGTCCATGTCTGCAAAAGCAAGAGATAAGAAGACAAAGCTTTCAGGAACCATTTGCAGCCAGGAATTGGTGGTGCACACCTTTAATCCCAGTACTCGGGAGGCAGAGGCAGGCCGATCTCTGTGCGTTCGAGGCCAGCCTGGTCTAAAGAGCTAATTCCAGGACAGGCTCCAAAACAATACAGAGAAACCCTGTCTCAAAAAAAAAAAAAAAAAAAAAAAAAAAAAAAAAGAACTATTTGCCCCATCACCAGCTCAACAGAACACCTTAGTTTCACTGGGACCTTCTCCAAGGAACCATGTTTGGGGAGAAGGGGAAGGGGGGATAGGAATGGGAGATGGGGGATGGGGGCAAAGAAGTAAAAAAGGAATCCCCAGAGTTAGAATTAACTATTAACCAGAAGCTCCTGCCTACACTGTGCACTCCAGGCCAGTGTCGGGACAGAAACCGGCTTGTCCACTCCTCTCCCACTTGGACTCCAGGATGAACTTTCCTGGAATAAAGACTTGACATCTATATTCAGTGACTCCAAGAAGATCAAAGATCATCTTATTTTACAAGGTGGGCCAACATAGGTGCAGATCCCAGTCAATAACAAAGTCTGGTATGAGGCCAGTGAAAGACTGGGGATAAAAGTCAGATCCTCAAAGGGCTGAGCACCTCCAAATACCTGGGAGATCCATGTGGCTCGTTCATTCACTATTCCACCCACACTAGAGAGAAACGGTCCCAAAGGAAAAGCAACATGCAGCCGTTCTCTCTTGTCTAAGACCTCACAGAAGTCCTCCAGTGTATTCATAAAGACAGACACAGCAGTTTTCTAAATTCATTTCTAAAACAAATCACATTTGCATAATGCTGTCTTTGACCTGTGAGTATCAAGCGAGGGTCCTAATCCCCTAATATTCTGGGACACCTCCAATTAATTCTATTCAAGGTTTTCTGCCTCAGCCAGGGGCTACACGCAGAGACTGTGAACTTCCCGGGTCAGTTCTATCCTCGAAGCCCAGAGAGGAGCAGCTAACAGTCACACCTCCTTGCTTTATTGTCGGTCCTTGCTTCAATGCACACCACCACAAGAAATTTTGAAAAATGTTTGCTTTTGTCCAGTTTGTAAAAACCGGTCATTACCAAGCTAATTTACTTCGCTCCAAAGTAATCAAACTTTTGTCCACAAGGACGAGCACATGTTTGTAAAAACTGGCCAGTAGGAAATGTAGCATGATTATTTATAACGGTGTCAACCACGCCTATGAAATCCAGGACGCTCTCAAAGGAAAATAACAGTCATATAAGAGCACACTTCCACCCTTTAGCGCGTCTGGAGTTCGAGAACTAATTTCAGTGGGCATAGGAGTGCTTATTAAAAGTCCCAACAATGTCCACTCGTTAAAAATGAACAGCGCAGCCAGGCGTTGGTGGCGCACGCCTTTAATCCCAGCACTCGGGAGGCAGAGGCAGGCGGATCTCTGAGAGTTCGAGTCCAGCCCGCTCTACAGAGCGAGTGCAAGGACAGGCTCCAAAGCAATACAGAGAAACCCTGTCTCGAAAAGCAAAAAATAAAAAAAGTGAACAGCGTAGCCTGGTTCTTTCATTCATGCTGCTATCCTCGGTATTACATTCTGCTCCCAACTCCCCATCACCCGCGGCTCTCCCGCACTCCAGCGTGAGGTCGGTATGGACCTGAGCCGCACTGAGCTGTGGGTAGGTGCGTCGGGCGGTCATCCCCAGCCATGGCTGCCGAGGAGCCCCCACCCACAGCGGCCCAACAGCCTCCACGCCCGCTCACCTAGTTTCGGAGCAGAAACGTTCCCTCCACGCCCGAGCAGCCACCGCTCAGCGCGAACCAAACCCGCTCACTCAGATCCTGAAGACGTGGCCCAGCCTGGCTTCCGGCACGACGCCCCGCCCCCTCTACCGCCCCCGGCCAATAGCGGTGAGGAGGGGTCTGGTGTCCCCGCCCCTGGTCCAGGCCCTCGCCGCAGCCAATCGCGGCGGGTAGCCTGCTGTGGCCCCGCCCCTATGCCCTAAGCCCCGCCCTCAGCCGTCCGCGCGCTGCTCGCGCCCGCAGAACTGCGGCTGCGGTTCGGAGCGGGTTCGGGGACTGCTTGGCTTGAATAAGCTAAAAGGGTGAGGACGCGGCGGCCGAGGTGGGTCGAGGGTTAGCACCCGGGGTGGGCAGCTGCGCCTCCGAGCCTGGACCTGGTGGGGCCCGGGTCCCCAGAGGGCGGGAGCACTAATGTCCTTCTGACCACCGAGGTCATCTCCCAGCCCAGCCTCTGAAAAGCCAGGGCAGCGTCATCCCCGTGGGTCCTCACCCCTTCGACCCTAGGCGTCATTTTATTAAGTGGCGGAGACCCCCTCCCCCAGCTCCGTGGCTAGGCCCTATGCACCTGCGCGAGATGCTGCACGCCACTGCAGTCCGGGGAGGCTGTCCTCCAACGGGTCTGCAGATGAGGCCTGGCGGCTGGTGGCTGGCGGCGGGGACGACCCAGAGCCCTCCTTTCCTCTTTGCGGGCATCTCTCCTCGCTGCCTCCAGCTCTGCAAAGGCCTGAGATCCTAGTGGGACTCCTGGGTCGGCCCCTGCTTTTCCCAGGATTGAGACTGGCAGGGAGTACAGGTGTTTGCAACCACCTGCTACGAAATGTTATCACCCGATCACCTGTTGAAATCACCGACTCCTGAATGACCTGCAAGGGTGGGGAAGAGAGACCAGGAATCTAGGTGTTGACCGAGCATTTTAAAAGGATGTTGTGCATTCTAGACTTAGGGCTCAGGAGAGAAATCTAAACAGTTTAAGTGTGTGGATGTGTGCTCCTAGCTCTCTGCAAACGGTGGGATTGCCTCCTAAGAAAGACCTTGGGAAAATTTCCTGCACACCAGGTGTCATTAACAAACCCACTGTTTCTGGGCCTTTCCAGGTTTTCAAGCAGGTTGACTTGGAGACATGTCAGCGTCGATTAAAGAAAGCCTTCAGCTTCAGCTGCTGGAGATGGAAATGCTGTTTTCTATGTTTCCTAACCAAGGAGAAATAAAACTTGAAGATGTAAACGCCCTAACGAACATAAAGAGGTATCTGGAAGGAACTAGGGAGGTACTCCCACACAACATCGAATTTGTGATCACGCTCCAAATTGAGGAGCCCAAGGTGGGTGCTTTTATTTATTTTTTCTACGTGTTTCTGGGTGCACACTTTTTCTGTGTATTTTTAATGTGTAAGGGTGTTTTGCCCACACGTATATGTCTGTGAACCTTGCACATGCAGTGCCCTCAGAGGCCAGAGGAGGGCAGAAGACACCATGTAGGTACTTGGAACCCAACCTAGACCCTCTAGAAGAGCAGCCGTTCTCTTGATGGCTGAGCTATCTCCATCCCCAAGTGCCCACTTTTTAACTGAAAACCCCAGTGCATGAGCTTCCTATCCAGTAAACAAATAGACAGTTCCAAATGCATATCCCATTATTTGTTTGGAAGGAAAAAGTACCAAACACGAGATGCTCTGTAAGTTTTCTTAAATAACTATACTGAATTTTACTTAAGAACACATACCTTTTTAACAAACATTCCTACTGTTTTCAGTGAAACTGTCCTGCAGTCTTACCATTGTTGTGTCTAACCCAACTGTTAGAATGTGCCTTCTGCATACACTGCGATTTTCACAAACCAAAATGCTACCTGCTACAAAGGGACTTCTCTTAAGCTAATGAATGTGTAGGGTTTTGTTTCGATGGCACTGTCTGTGGATAGTAACTACAAATGCAAACTCTACATGTTAAATGTGAACTCACCTCCATCTTCTGATCCCTTTATCCCCAGGAATATTACATAGCATAGTGCAGGTAGCACGTGGACTGGGCACTTGAGAACTAATGTTTTAGCTCTCACCTACCTATCCTTCAGTTGCCATTCCTTCAGAGCAGGTTTACTGCCTCCCCAGACTCGATTTCTATCTCCTTGATTATACACTTCAATGGAACCGCGAGCTTCTCCCATGGTAAATACTGCTTCTCAAATTGAAATTCAATTCTTGTCACGTGTGGTCATTGTTTAACGTGGGTCTCCTTCACGAGGCTCTAGCCTGAGTCAGAAATTGTGTCTGCCTTCATCACTCCCTTATCCAACACAGGGCACCTGAGACACACAGCGCAGCAGTGATTAGAAGAAAACAGCTTCATCACTTGTCTGTAGCTGGCACCCATGGTCTCCATGAGTGTGTCTGTCACAATCATGCAGTTGCCATGACAGGCTAGCTCGTGTGGTTTTGTGGTATTTAAATCCATGTGGTTTTTATTTAAGGTGACAATTGACTTGCAAGTAACCATGCCACACAACTACCCATATGTGGCTTTGCAGCTGTTTGGAAGGTCCCCTGAGCTTGACAGACAACAGCAGCTTCTCCTCAACCAAGGCCTCACTGCTTATGTAGCGACTTTTGATCCGGGTGAGCTGTGTGTCTGTGCAGCAATCCAGTGGCTGCAGGATAACAGCGCGTCCTACTTCCTCAACAGAAAGCTGTCGGATGGGCCATCCGCCCAAGCAAAGCCGGTCAAGAACACATTCCTCCGGATGTGGATCTACAGCCACCACATATATCAGCAGGACCTAAGGAAAAAGATTCTGGAAGTGGGCAAGAGGTTAGATGTGACTGGATTTTGCATGACGGGAAAGCCTGGTATAATCTGCGTGGAGGGCTTCAAGGATCACTGTGAGGAGTTCTGGCACACCATCAGGTACCCCAACTGGAAGCACATTTCCTGCAAGCACGCCGAGAGCGTGGAGACAGAGGGGAACGGTGAAGACCTCCGCCTCTTCCAGTCTTTTGACGAATTGCTCCTCGAGGCCCATGGTGACTATGGATTGAGGAATGATTATCACATGAACCTAGGCCAGTTCCTAGAGTTTCTCAGAAAACACAAAAGTGAGCATGTCTTTCAGATACTATTTGGTATTGAAAGCAAAAGTTCAGAGTCTTAGGACTCTGGTATTGAAAGCAAAAGTTCAGAGTCTTAGGACTCTAGTAAAATGTCTGTGTTTGTAACTGTATTAAGTATCTATGTTAATAAGACCAAAATAAAAAGGCCAATGACTATGTAGAATTCTGGGTGAAAATCCTGACTCTAGAGTTTTCTGACTGCTAGTGAAGCAAATAGGCCTTTTAACTATTATCATTGTAACTGTGGTATTGTTTCAGGTGGCTGTGTAAAGTCACACTTGAATACTATTTCATTGTAAATTAATAAAATGATTATTTAACCAGAGAAACTTGGCTCCACAAGTCCAAAGCCAGGCTAGAGAGGTGGCTGGGAATTTAAGAGCACTGGCTACTCTTCCAGAGGACCCACACAGAAGCTCACTGCCATCTGTAATTCCAGTTCCAGTGGACCCGACGATTTCTTCTGACCTCCTTAGGTACTGGGCTCACATGTGGTATAGAGACACACGCAGGAAAAACACCCACACACAAACAAATGAATAAATGAAGTTCGAAATCCCACAGTTAATGTAAAAGCCAGGCTGCAGATACAGACACATAAATCTGAGACATAGTTTCGTAACACTGACACACCAGTTCATCACTGGACATGAATTCTAAATCACAGATAAAAACGGATTAAAGAGCACCTGTTCACATTTCTTCCTTTAAAACCCCCATCTGAAGTGTTTTAGTACAACGAGGTTCTAACAGCGCCAGTTGAGAAAAGGAGTTGTCCACACTCATGTACATATACAGATAAACACATGAGAAGACTTAAAAACAAAAGTGAAGGTAACAGCTCTTGTTCCACTGGCTACCATTTGGTTAAGAACACCATTGGTAATGGTAAATGGTAGAAATAGCTTTATCCTTGTCTGCAAAAAAAAGGTGTGGCTTTGTTCTACCCCAGAGTTCTTAGCTACTAAACATTGCCTGGTGTTTTCCAACCTTTGCCCATGTACCAGTATGTACTTACACAGGAGAGAGAGAGAGGAGAGAGAGACAGAGACAGAGACAGAGACAGAGACAGAGACGGAGAGAGAGGGGGGAGAGAGGGAGAGAGGAGAGAGAAGAGAGAGGAGAGAGAGAGAAAGAGGCCCCCCCTTTGGGGAAAAGTCAAACTACATTTTCAGTGATAAGTCTAAAGTTCCACCAGCCCTTTTAAAAATGAGTTTAATAACGGGGGGGGTGGGGTGCTGTTTTCTTTTTTTTTTTCTTGTTTTGTTTTGTTTTTCGAGAAAGGGTTTCTCTGTAGCTTTGGAGCCTGTCCTGAAACTCTTGTAGACTAGGCTGGCCTGGAAGGAGCTGGAGAGAGAGCTCAGCAGCAATGGCTGCTCTTCCAGAGGACCTAGGTTCAATTCCTAACACCTATATGGTGGCTCACAACTGTTTGTAACTCCAGTTCCAGGATATCTGATTCCCTCTTTGGCCTCTGAGGACACCAGAGGGCACATGGTACATGGACATACATGCAGGGCAAACACTCATATACATAAAAAACTGTAAAGACCTTTGGTAAAGTCGCTTTTGCCCATCATGTTGTTGGTAAAATATCTAGTCCAAGAGTTTCCAGACATTTAAGTGCCAGGGGACCCTCCCCTTTTCTGGCCTCAACCATCACACTCCTTTTCTGAAGAGAATTCCATGCTTCTGGGTCTCGGGCTGATAACTTGGTCCCTTCAGGATGCCAAACTGGCAGGATTTAGTGACATGCTGAAGGATGCCACAGTCCCCATGAAACATCATCGGCTGTCAATGTTGTATGTATTGAGAAACTTGGAGAAGCTCCTGGTGAACCAGTACCCTCACCCCTAGGATGGAAGCATACGCCCTTGAGATAGGAAGAACACTCCATGGCCTCCTCTGGGTCCCCTGTGCCGGTGAGGCTGGAGAACGGGATCCGTGGTACAGCTCAGCACGAGTCTGCTCAAGGCATAAGTCTGTAAAAGCTCTCGTCAAGGCCTGTTTGGAAAAACCTTAGCTCCCCCACTCATGTTTCAATCGCTTTTTATTCCAATGGAACCCAAGCTGGGGCCTCACACCTACCTACATACAAGGGGAAGAAACAGGACTCAACATCCCCAAGCAATCTCTTCATGTTTGCCAAGACAGAGCATAGGAATCACCTTCATATCTTAAACTATCAATCATTAAACCAACATTCACAGTTATTAGGCCCTATTTAACACCATTAATCCTTTGTCCTTTGAAATGAAACTAGGGGCTATATGGTTGACCCACAGAGGATTTTTTCCCTTTGATTAAGTTAGCAAAAATGGCTTCTGAAATATAAACAGCTTAAGGAGTAAAATATGGAACAAAACTAGGTTGTTACATAATGAGCACAATGCATGCAAGCCTATGAACTCCGAGTGCCTCTGGAGTTACTTCTAAGAATTTTTTCAGTACTCTGCTTTAATATGCCCAGTGCTAGCACTAAACGGGACTTTTAGATATGCTATCAGTAGACAGTTGTTCCAGATTCAGATTTTGTATCAAAATGTCTGTTCACATGTGTATGTACATACATACATACATACATACATACATACAATCTCATTCAAAACTCACTGTCAGCACACTGCTGTTAAGTTTGCCCACCCTCTCATGCACACAGGGTTTTGAGGAACAGCCCCTTTTTCTAGAATGTTCAGAGGAGGTAACTGGAATTGGCGGGCCCCAGGCACAGGGCAGAAGTGCTCCTGAGTTCCTGGCACCAGGAGCATCTCTGGCCCCTGAATGCCCGGCTTCTCAGCACCTCCTCTGGGCTGCTGAACATCTCCCCTAACTTAGGAAGACAGACTAGTGATGCTCTAAATTAAAATCTTTTAATGACTGTTTGGGAAATTGCTTGTTCCTAACAATCAAGATCTCTCTGAAGTTTACTGAGCTAAGCATTTTCTCAAGTGTGTTGTTGCCTTTCACTCTTTATTGATATAATACATCTTCACCTACGAACTGAAGGCACTTGGGTGAGTGGCAGGGACACCTTAGCTGACAGGCTACGAGGGGCCTTGAAGGCACTGCTCCAAGGCAAGCATGTTACCTGTGAGACTGAGCTCTCACGAACTATGCGTGTGCCACCTAGGCCTCTCTCAAAACTCGGGTGCCTATTGGAGGAATTCAAGGAACAATTTTGATTTTTTTTAAATTTACTTTTACTGCAAGTGCCCTATTAGTAAAGCTAAATAATAGATTTACTGAAGGTGCATCATTTTGCTCCAAAAACTCAGGTTTTATGCAGAATCCTGATTCATCACAGAAACTAAACCCATTATCTCTCCTCCATGAGGCACATGTGAAAAAACTCTATGCACTGCAGTGAGCCATCACCAGAGACATCTCTCTGTCCATGTCCAGTCAAAGCTAGAGGCATTTGGAGCACTCCTAATTGGGTTTAAGCAATGTGCACAATTTTTTCTGAAGTCCATCAAACAGCTCAATACGATGGTACAGGTCTATAATCCTAGCATATGGAAGACAAAGGTAGAGACAGAAGGATTCAAATTTGAGGTCAGCCTGGGCTACATGGCCAAATTCTGTCAAAAAGAGTCCACCAGACACCTAATATTGCAGTGCTTGAGGCCCCATCAGCAGATCCTCGGTGGGTATGGGACCACTGCTGTCCAATGACGAGATGGTAAAGGCCCAGTATCAGAATGATGCCCTGATACAGTCAGGGTGAATGTGGCCCTGGAAGTAGGTGATCTGTACTGCTTACCAGGATAAAGCAAACCTACCCAGCTCCTCTCTCCTACAACAATAAGGGTCAGACACACTGGCTAAATTAATGGTCACCTACTGATTTGTTAAATGGCTAAATGGCCACAGACATACCATCATTCTGAGAGGCCTATCTGCTTCCTTCATATGCTAATGATTGCGCAGAATGGAGATGTACTAAGACACATCCTTGTTTCTTTTAAAGCTCCTAAAAGCTGGAATCTAAGCCAGGCTTGGTGGTGCATACCTTGAATCCTAGCACTAGAGAGACAGAGGTAGTGAGTTTGAGGCCAGCCTGGTCTACAAAACAAGTTCTAGGACAGCCAGAGCTGTTACACAGAGAAACCCTGCCTTAGGATTAAAAAAATTTTTTAATTAATTAATTATTTTAAAAAAGATGTGATCTCTGCAAATCTCTTGGTACCTTCTATTTATTTATAGATCAGAGATCCAATGTGGGGCTATTGGAACACAAAGATTTCCATTCTTAAATGATAAAACACATAAAAACGTTTGTGTTTAAAAATTTAATTTAAAGGAGCTAGAGGGTTGGCTCAGTGGTTAGGAATGTATACTATTCCAAAGGACCCAAGTTTGGTTTCCAGCACCCCCATTAGATGGTTTACAACTGCAGTGACTGCAGCTCCTGGGGATCCCAAACTCTCTCCTGGCCTCATAGCTAGGCAGGAGAAAGGATAGGCGGGGCTGGCAGGCAGAGAGAATAAATAGGAGGAGAAAAGTAGAAGCAAGAGGATCTAGGAGCAAGAGAAAAAGGAAGACTCAAGGGGCCAGACGCCATCCAACACAGCAGCCGTGGAGTCAGAAGGAAAGAAAAGATAGGAAAGAAGGTAAAAGCTAGAGGCTAAAGATAAACGGGATAATTTAAGAAAAGCTGGCCAGAAATTGGTCAAGCTAACGCTGGGCATCTATAAGTAAGAGTAAGATGCCATGTGATTTATTTGGGAGTTGGGTGTCGGGCCTCCAAAGAGTAAAAGACAACAACAGAGATTACTGGGACATTGCGCCTTGAAGGACATATCTTGTCCTCAAAGCTTCCCCTGTCTGCTTCCTGACAGCCACAGGATGAGCAGCCCCTCCCTCTCTCTCATACTCCTGCATTCGCAGTGTGTTCGCTCACACAGTCCCAGAGTGATGAAAGCGTCCACTGGCCCCGGGCTGACTCCCCTGAAACTGTAAACCAGATAGTTAGTTCTCCTTTGATATGCTTCAAAATTCTGTTGCAGTGATTAAAGTAGACTAGCCAAAGAGACTTTCAGCCTTGGTGTGACACTTCTGTGGTACTCTGGGCTCCTGTCAGAAAGCTCTGCTATAGTCCATGTCAAGGAGTTCCTATGTGTGTTTCCCATATGCTGGGCTGTGTTCAGCTGACGGAAGCAGCCACTTTTTTCAGTGTTTTTCAAACATCGATTCAGGTCACCAGGTCCTTTGAAATTCCTGTAGGCAGAACTATTCTCACTGCACTGGGCCAGCTTAGACTGGTGACTAATTGCACCTATCTCCCATTAACTGCCACAAAATGCCAATGTGGGGTCGTTTGTT